CATATTGGGTTGAAGCATAATTATTGCGGATTTTTTTCAACAACTTTTATTCAGCGAAAACGATAAAAATATTCAACGAAAACATGCCAAAAGATTATTCCGGAGCATAGTCACCATCTTCAAGAATGCTTCCCATTTGCTTGGCAGTCGGTCGATTCCACGGTGAAGAAATCACGATTCTTGGAGACGATCCACGCTCTAACATCGGCCACCAAGTCATCAGTCGTCATCCAGCTCGTCGTAAATTTTGTTCGTTTTCCAGTTTTTAACGACTGAACGAAGTGGTAGCTTGTAGGGGCCTCAGCCTATCGGAACTTGTGGGGTCTTGCTCGCCTTATGGACGTGTCCAGCCACGCGGTAAATTGGTAACTTGAAACCCTGAACAAATTCCGACTTGAGCCGACTTGAATTGACTTCAATAGAAGATAAGATAAGTGAAAGATTCACTTAGAACGACTTGAGACGATGAACTGCTCCCGACTAGGCTGAGGACAGCAATACCAACTGGAGGCCTGAACAGATTCACTTGAATTCCGTCCTACTTGAGTTGTCAAGATGATTTCAATTGAGCTCACAGTAAGAAACAAGATTACTTGAATCTTTACTTGAAATAAGAGAGAACACAACGAATTAGCTGAGAAGATCGGGGCTTGAGCCCAGCCGATGCCTGAGACGAAAATGAGACAGTATTGAGACGGTATTGATCCATTGTACTTGAGAGTGCCCTTTTATAGCTGCCTCGATCCCGCCAGATCATCATGTAGATCAAGCCTAGAATCGAATCTAATCGTGAATTCGTCCTTTGACCCTGCTGTTCGCATAAGCCAACATAAACCTTACCCTGTGTGGCGGCGCGAAAAATACTCAGCCCGTCCGTCCGTTATGGGCTGATATTTCTTGATATTCAACGAATTTTGGTTCCATATTCCTGTCTCTTTTCTGCTTCCTTTTCTTTTCCTTTCCTTTCCTTTTCTTTTCTTCTTCCTCTTTCCCCACACTGCCTCAGTTTTACCTCCGTTAAAGGCACGCCATGCTGTCGAGAACGCCCTTGTACAATTGATTTGGTGCGATGATTGCATCTTTGTATTACTAGAAAATGAAGACAGCTCAGTGAGGGTGCCTGTGAGGATGCACAATACCTACTGAAGCCTACCTGCATACGTGCACCTTCACCTTTTCTCAGATCCTATGCTGTGGTTCTACCTCTTTGAGGGACTACCATAATCGAGCTTAGCAAAGCTAATAATTTCGATCGAAACCTTTTCCACCAGGGAATGCAATGAGTCTGCGAACACCCAGACTGGAGATTCCCGCACGGCTCGGAGGTCACCTGGAGCGATAAAACTAATTTTTAATGCCCAATGCATGTGTCGCGTTGGGCGTTGTAAATTTATTTTTGTCGCTACAGGTGTGGCTGGTCCTTTCATCGAAATCTTTTCCGGCAGGACGCCACACATGCGTTGTGCATTGTAAATTCACTTTTGTCGCTCCACGTTGCAGCCGTGCGGAGTTCTC